AGTCAACTTGCCCTAGAATGGTTAGGTTTCATGGAATTTAAAAGCGGTCGAGTTTTTAATTTTTTATAGATAACTTATTCTGTCATTCTTAAAAGTATTTTTTTTTTCAATTTCAGGTCGCACTACTCAGCATTCGAGAAGAGGGATCGGTGAGGTTAAGATATGCTGAACCGCTATGTTGATGGTTTTCACAAAGAAAGTAACACTGTCAATGAATTTTACGGATGTCATTATCATGGGTGCACCGAATGCTTTCAACCTTTTACGATTCATCCCACCATAAACAAGCCGATGTGGAAATTGGAAAGCGAAACAAAAGAAAGGAAAGAGGCCCTCAAAAAAGCTGGTTATATTGTGACATATGTGTGAGAGCATGATTTTAGAAAAAAATAACCAAGAACTTAAAGAATGGCTGTTAGGATTTAATGTATTTATATTTCTATTTTTAAAATCAATTCGATATTTGCATGTTACACAAAGGTCGATTTTTATATTTTACAGTGCATACCTAGATTGAACCCTCGATCAGCTTTTTACGGAGGAAGAACGGGAGTCTCCAAACTTTAGCACTGTGCCAAAGCCCCAGAAAAAATAAAATACATAGATTTTACAAGTCTTTATCCTTACGTAAACAAATATTGCTCCTATCCAGTAGGGCATCCTATTATAATTACAAATAATTTTAAATCAATTGAAAACTACTTCGGGTTAATTTTGTGTACGATACTTCCCCCTAAAAATATCTTTCACCCTGTTCTACCTGTGAGATCAAGAGGTAAACTGACATTTGGTCTATGTCAGACCTGAATAGAAACGAGGAAAAATCCTCCCTGTGATCATACTCAAAGTGAAAGATCATTAATAGGTACTTGGACCACAATAGAAGTACAAAAAGTAATTTCTATGAATTATAGTTCGCTAGAGATTCACGAAATTTACCATTTTAATGATAGGAGCGATAGTCTTTTTAAACCATATATAGATTTATTCCTGAAAATCAAACAGGAGTCGTCGGGTTGGCCCTTAGGGTGTGAATCGGAAAAGGAGAGAGAAGTGTACATTACGGATTATTTGAGAAAAAAAGGAATAATTCTGGATGCCAACAATATTAAGAAAAATCCAGGGTTAAGAGCTCTTACTAAATTAATGTTGAATTCTTTCTGGGGTAAATTTGGCCAAAACGAAGATAAGCTACAAACAGTATTTATATCTTCAATTCAAGAATTTAACAAATATTTTTCGACTGAAGAAAATATTTAGTGAAGTGAGGTTAGCTTCTTTTCTATTTCTTAACTCGTAGTTTTACCTTAGCACTGTTAAAACTTTTGTATTCTATCTTTCTGATTCATAATGATGCTTTTCCGACTGAGGAGATCGCCATGATACAGTATAAAGTTAAAATAGATTTTGTGGAGAGTAATTTCCGTGGTAATGTCTTTATTGCGGCCTTTACAACAGCCTATGCCCGGTTGAAACTACTGGACACTTTAATAGACCTGGACAAAGATGTGCTGTACTATGATACTGATAGCGTAATATACATTTCCAACGGAAGAAACGATCCGGAGATAGGAAACTACCTTGGAGACTTTACAGACGAATTAGATGGATCACATATACGAGAATTCGTAGCTGCAGGACCAAAAAAATATGGTTATGAAACTGCAACTGGAAATACTGTCTGCAAAATCAGAGGTTTCACTCAAAATAATCAGAACTCTTGTAAGTTGAATTTTGATTGTTTAAAAAACGTTATTGTTAACGGCAATAGAAAACCTATTGTAACTGAAAATGTAAAATTCAGAATTAACGTAAAAGAACTTAAAATTGAAAACAAAGAAGAAACTAAACAATATTTATTTAGTTTTGATAAACGAGCTGTTGTAGAACATTATTGGACAGTACCATATGGGTACGATTTGTCAAATACAAAATGAATGATTTTTTTGTAAAATACAGAATTTAATTCTGTAAATTTGTATTTTTTCCTTGTCATAATAAAAAGAAAATTGCTTAAATTTGAGTTTGTCTGATTTGTAATTAAGAGTCTTTATCGATTTAAAAATGCTGTTTTAAAACTGCAATTTTTTGTTTGTGGTATTTGGAAAGAAATTTATTTCCAAAATTGTGTTTTGTATATTTAATTAAGGATAAGGAAATGAAACAAACACAAATAAAATAGCTAGAGTTTAATCCATGAATTTTTTCTAGCATACATTACAGGTTTTGTTACAGTTTTACGGACTTCATACAATTTTCTGTTGACATCTAATGTAAAAGGGAAATTTATATTTTTTAAAATTTTCAAAAAGGTAGTGCGCCCATTTGGAGCATTCTTTCTATTTCCTAATAAATCATTCACTAAGTGTACAATACTTGTTTTTGGAATGACTTGTCCTTTGTGAATAATTTCACCTTTGTTATTCCACTTCAATATGTCTTGACCGCGTAAAAATTGGAATATTTCTTTAGCAACTTCATGATAACGTTTTGGAGCCGTTCTCAAAATTTGTCCTTCGAAGTCAGAATGTTCGTCTTTCACATTTGTTTTTTGGACTGTTTCTTCTGGAATCTGCTCCAATTGCTCTGGAGGTTTAGATATTTCAAGATCTTTTGATAAATTAACCTTGTCATGAGTATATTTCTGTAAAATTTGTAGATAAAAAGTAGTTTTTTCATGATCCCCTAAATCTTTCCTTTCTAAAATATGTTTCACCTGCTTATCCAAATCCGATAAATAATTAGCCTGCAATTGGTCGTGTGGGATTAACACAAATTTCTTGCTAAACTCCATGAATTACTGAACTTAATATTGATAGTGCAGCAACTAATATCACTTCCCCTCTTTCAAACGAAACAAAATCACCTGAGTGAAATCGGATTTCTATATCAATTGTTTGAAAAGATTGACGGATCACAGGTAAGATTTGGGGTCTATCGTAATATTGACTAATTACATCACCATCTTGGGCTTTGACCCTGACTAATCTCAAAATGGGGGCTTGTACATTTCCCACTATTTGAGGAGAAGCAATATCCGTATAGAAGTAGAAAAAAGAATATGCGGTTTGGACATCGGCTGGAAATTCACTTTTCATAGTTCCGCGAATAATGGTATTTTGGGGGAAGCCTAACAAAACACTTAGATTTTCTAAATGAAGTGCTGCTCCTTGAACTACATTGATTTTAACCCGTTTTGTAACTTTGTTATACGTTAAAGTAAATTTACTTGGAATTTTTTGGTAATATTAACTGAATTGCAAATACAAGGTCGTACATTGATTTGTAATATGCTGCTTTGATTTTCTGCTTATGAAACTTTCCATCTCCAGTACTATAGTAAAATGTATTATTTGTATGATTCACATTAAGCCACGAAAGAGGATAAATGATTTCAGCCAAACCCACTTCCCATTCTCCATGTAAATTCATCTGTACGGGCATTTGCGTAGTAAAATGTGATATTTTATTTTCTTGAAAATAATGCGCAGAGCTGTCGGAAGGTAGTGTCACATAGAAAGACATTTTTACAAATGATATGATTATATTAAACAATTATATTTTATAGTAGTTTGACGTCAGTCACCCAGTCGTTAAATGTATCTGGATATCCTAGAAATTTTACAAAATATTCAATCTTTCCTCCGTTTTTCCTTTTCCTAATGATCTTTTCTACGGTGTAAAAACCGGAATCTGCTACTTTTTGTAATTCTTCGCTATAAAATGTTCCTTTTATATTTTCATCCATTAAATCTTTGATTTTATATACAGTAGGATTTCTCGGAATTACGTGAGTGATTGTAAATAACTCTCTCGTCCAGTTTTGCTCGTAGCCTTTTTCAAAATGACCCTTTTCTCTGCTAACACGAACTGTATCTCCTACTTTAAAAATTATTACTGGTTTTCTGAGCATATGTAGATCTCCATATAAATTTCGCCACACTTTTCCTTGATTTGCAGTTGTAACGGATGCTGGTTCCGTTTTGATACTCCTATGAAAACTATGATTATAGCTTAAAATAAGTTTTTTTTTTAAATATCTATGTAACTACGTGTATTGTATTCCGTAAAATATTTCCACATTTTAGTTTTTAGGGTTCTATTAAAACGTTCAATAACAGATGCTTTTGCTTGATTATGTGTTGTAAAAAAATGAATTTGTTCTTTCTTCAAGTAATTCTGTACAATTTTATTTTTAAACTCTGTTCCCGAATCTGTCTGTAATATTTCGGGTTTCCTTTCTTTAAATATTTGTTTCAATGCTCTTAATATAGTATTACCTAATTTGTCTTTTAAAGGTATAGCCCATGCATATTTAGAAAAGACATCAATACAAGTCAACAAATATTTGTGACTTTTGCTATATTTAGCTAAGGATTTCAAATCAACTAAATTTGCTTGGTATTGTTCATTAATTCCTCCTACAATTACTCTATTTTTTTTAGAGTTTAACTTAAGAGGTTTATGTAAATTATAAGAATCTTTTTTTTCTAACCATTTTTTTATATCTTTAACTTTAGATTACCTTTTAAAACTCTCTGTAAGGCATTTATTCCTCCAAAACTACCCGTAAGTTCAGGTTTACTATATAATTCATTTACTTTTTCATTCATAATACTATTAAGAAGCTAGACACTTTTACAATCTTACATTTGCTATCCAGTTTTGAGCAAAATGAATATTTTTTTAAAGGAATGCTTTTTATGTAGCATTGTCGTAAAGTTAATATTGCTTTCTAGCAAGAATAATAAATATAAAAAAAATTCCATCTATTTATAAGTAAATTTTAGGGTGCTCATTTTATCTAAATATGAAAAAAAATTCATCATCATTTAAATTTACTAGTAAAATTTTAATTACAGTGTTTATTGCTTAACTTTTTTCTATAATAACGATTAAGGAGTCGGAAGAATAACTCTTAGCGTTTAACAGATTAAATACTATAAAAATTAAAATAATTTTGATTACGAATATTAAATTACACAATTATCAGTGCTGCCCTCTATGAAAAAATAATTTAACTAAAGTGATTATCTATAAAAAAAAAATATTGCAAAACATTTTTCTATAATAATGATTAAGGCGTCAAAAGAATACCTCTTATCTTTTAAATTATTAAATGCTACAAAAATTAAAATACCATACTACGTAGTTCTATTACGAATATTAAATTACACATTCTTATGGGTTTAAAAACACAAATAACAACTATAATAGTACACATCACATAATATTTATTAAACTAAACACTGATGCCATCAAATGAACAAAAATCAACTTTTGCAAGCATTATCAATTCAAATATATTAACAGTATTCAGATATTGTTCGTTTATATAGTCATTTAAGGGAAAGGGATACTTTGTAAGAAAAAATATTTCCTTTTTTAACGCCTTTTCAAAGTCAGGAACTATACTTACTGTGTTCAGGTTTAAGCACGATTCATAAAAATCAGAAACTGTGATAATTTCTTCGATTTCTGGGAGTTCGTCGGTTTTTTGTATAGTTTATAGTCCTTTTTCTAGAGAAATGTGATTGTTCACAAAATTCCTTACGATACGAGTCATGGATGACGAGGTTAATCTTTCCATGCTTTTGTCAGACACTTTTTTGAGAACACTACATGACGTGTGTCGTTTGAACAGTTCATTAAACTTAACGGAGCTGTATTTTGAATTAATATAATTACAAATCACTGTGTCGCGCACTTGACCGAGTTGTGACCATTGCATAGAATCTATTTCTACAGTAGATTTATAGATTCGATTGCTTCGACACTGATACTAATGAGATAATGTGAAATATTTATCTTCTTGTATTTGGGTGTAGTAGGCATCTCTTTCTTGTCGATCTGAAGCATCCAATTTCATGTTAATATCAACAACATCGAATACCGACATCGGAGGCACATATGTTTTGCTCAACACATTAAACTGGGCTGTTTCTAGAGTAACACCATCTTTGGAGGGATAATACATCTCGCGATGAAGTTTATAGGTTCTTATATGGAACTTTACTTTCCTCTTGTAAGCATTCAAAGTCAGAAACAGATAGTTGCCAAGAGGATAAACATGTTCTGGGATACTGCCTCTCTGAAATTTTCCATTTTTATGTTCAATGTACTTGCACTCCTGTAATATTAAAACGTTTTTGAGTTCTTGACCAAATGGTGATAAAATTGTAGTAATAACATTGAAATGAAATATATTTGAAAATTAAGTATTAAAATTATAAACTGTAAAAATTCAAAATTAAATAAAAAATAAAACTTTTATTTAAATTTAATCATTCTATATTATAAAGACAAAAAAGAATACAAAATACATAATATAATTAAATACATAATATTTATATAACCGTCATTATTAAAATTAAATAAAAAATAAAATCAAAGAGGAATAATTAAAAAGGAATAGTAAAACTTATTAACTAAATAAATTTAAAAAGCATTAACACGAAAATTAAATAAAAAATAAAATATTATATTTAAGAAAATGAAAAAATAATTTTGAAATTAAAATTTTAATTACATATTTAAATAATAAATTTTTAGATAAATAATTTTAATATTAATTATTTATTTTAATAATAAAATACAATTAAAATAAATAATAACTTTGAAAAGAATAAAATAGCTTTATTTTTAAAACTAATATTACAATAAAATAAATATTGCTATAAAATATACTTACATCGTTTTCATCATATTTTCGCTTGATTGCCGTATTTTCTGAACTTTCAACTCCAGCCATTATAAAGTATATTATCAGACTTCGATGAATACTATTTGAAGTTTAAAGCACACGTCGGTTTGCTAATTCCTTGTTCAAATCTGATCAGAACGGAAGGAGGAGGGAGGGTCATGTTCAAGTCCTGTTAGATCTTGTTCGGGGTTTCATTTCATTCTTCTAAAACCTACTAAGAGACTAATTAAATGTGTTTTGTTAGTAACTGTTAACGTTAACACATTAACTGTTTTCTTTTTATGCCCTAATCGGAAGTTTCCGAACCGCATTTGATGGGGAGGTTTCAGCTATTCGCATGGCTCTTCAGCAGTTGGTTATTCTTAGTGATAAATTTCAAAATTCTGTTATCTTATCTGACTCCAGAGCTGCTATCCAGTCCATATGCTCCATACTCGTCCCATCTTCTAGGAATATACTGGAGTGCCAACTATCCATTAAAAAAAACTGGAACAATTGGGAAAAGCGACTGTTCTGCAGTGAGTTCCGGCTCATTGTGGGCTTAGTGGAAATGAGCGGACAGACGCACTGGCGAAGCGAGGCACTGACGTGTTGCAGCTCATGAATAATAAATGTTTCTTTTTGTACTATGAAGCGACTTATTAAGAACAGAGTGTCTTCTCGATTTTATAGAGATATAAGGACACGTACTGCTTCCAAAAGTTGGGGACATTTAGATCAGCTGAGTATTCTGGAGTATACTCGACGTGTTGCGGTTGCGATGTTCAGACTTTGTACTCGGCGTGACTGTCTGGCTGGACATCTATTTTCTATTGATGTCCTCCCGGACCCCTTTTGTTACGTCTGTAAGGATCACGTGATCATGGATGATCATCACATTTCACACTGCAGAGCGCTTCGTGGGAGTTCCTTGGTCGAGTGTTATTGGGAGGCTCGAGGCCGAATGGAACAATGACATTTTTTTTGTTTCATTTTTTTGTTCTTGTCTTTTTTTCCCTTTATCTCAAGTTCTCTGCCATTGGAAATAAAAATAACACATTAAAATATTCAAAAAAAATTTAAAAGAAGTGCCAAGACAAAATAAAAATATGAAACATAATGGCGCTAACTTATTCTTTTCGCTGAAGGCATATTAACAATAAGATATCAGTAAATGATGTTATTAAAGTATCGAATCCTTTTTGACGTTAATGAACAGATGGATGAATTTCTTAGATTTATTTCTATAGATATTGGTAAAGATTTCCCGCTTAATGGTATTCGCAAAGGAACACAATTATTAAAGTTGTACAAATTAAAGAAACTAACTAATGATGAAAAGACTTTTATGAATAAAATATACTTAGTATGTAAATAGCATAAATAATAAAATAGATGTGCAAAAAAGATGCGAAGCTGAAATTTTTTACGGAATTATGATTCTACCGTTTTTGCTAAAGGAGTCTATAAATCTCTTTTTTGAATTAATAAATTTTAAATATTGTTTAGATTTAGAAACAAGCGGATTTCCGTTTGCTGTGAGGGTTCTCGTTGCGGTGGCCATTGCTATTGAATGAAGATCGACAGAGGTTCTTTTAAGATCATCCTTTTATTTTATTGATTCTCCTCTGGTAAAGTATTGGTCGTGCACGTGGTGGAAATCTTATGACTTGTTCTCCCCGGTGTCAGCGAAGCCACGTGCCGGCTTTTGTTTTCTTCGTCGTTCTGACCGGAGATTCAAATGGCTTCACTCATATCAAATGATTCATTAGAAAAAAGGCCCTGCTCAGTGCCAGCAAATTTTTAGCCCACTTCAAATATCAGTTAGCCGTATGGCAGCAGAACTTAGGGCTTCTGATTTTAACCTAAAACATTTGGATAAAGCAGATGCTAAAAAGTTACTTAAAGTTTCATTAAATAATTATGAAGTTTTTTCTCAATATTATGCAACTTAGGGGTTTACTGATGCGGTAGTACTTGAATTTAATCTGATACATGAATTTCCGATACAAACTAAACCATATCCTATCCTAAACTTTGCTAAAAATTTCTCCAAAATAAAATTCAAAATTTGTTAAATGCTGGAATTATTAAACCTTCTTCTTCTAATTATTTCTTTCCTGTGATCTTAGTGAAAAAGAAGCCTTATGTGAATGATCCTAACTAGCAAAAATTTCGAATGGTTATTGTTTACAGATTACTTAGTTAAAGAGAGTTTTAAAATTTGTCTTCCTAAAATTAATGATATTTTGCATAATATTTCTGGAAAATCCTCATCAGTCGAACTTCGACTTCTAATAAGTCGAATAATCCTCTAACTCGAACTTTTAATCAAGTTCCAAATTGTGATGTGATCATCACAATGTTTACTTTTTTCAAAGTACCTACTGGGCTGTCTTCAACTGAAGCGCCCTCTTTATTGCCTTTGCGAGATCTCTAGGGCTCTTTGTGGCCAATAATCCTAAATTTGATAATGCAAACTTTGAGTTAACATGTAAATATTTAAAGGAATTCTTCCAAAACGGTGCAAACCCAACTAGTAACCTGATCTCACTTAATAATATGTTTTTGCTGCCAGGTGAATCGATTCGAAGTTTTGCACATAAAATTGAGTCCTTGATTGCAAAAACATTTACTTCGGTAAATGACATTAAAGCATTAAATCAAATTAAAGCCCTCCAGCTGATCAATGGATTGCCCATTGAAATGAAAGAGTCACTTGTATTGGAAGATTTAAGTGATTTTGAGTCCTTAGTATACTAAACCCAATAAGTTGGCTATGGCAAAGGCTACTGTACAGGTGTTAAACTCCCATACAACTGTAAACAAATTAGAAAATGAAACCTTAAAGAGTCTAGAAAGCCAAATTCAAAATTTAGCATTAAAGGGACAAGAAATTACACGCCAATTTTGCTCAAAGCAACACGCGCTAGCTAAATGTGAGGAATTCAAATTATCCCTAACTCGACAAAAAGAGGTTTCAAATCTACGCATACATGAAAGCGTAAACCATTTGAAAAATAATCATCAAAATTCCCAGCAATCAATTATATGTCACTATTGCAATAAAAGAGGGCACATTATGGCTGGTCCATTGTCGATTATATTTGGCGATTACTCGCCCAGCTAATTATCATAGATTGTATAGTCCACAGTATGTGACACCTCGTTTTTTTCTCATTACAATTATCCTCCCAGGTTTAATAGATTTCAAAATTTTAATACACGGAGATATAATGTAAGACAATATAATAGTCAAATGAGACAAAATTCTGAGAAAACTGTACCCAAATCAAGCTATAAGAATCATTTAAACTTAAGAAGAGGTCATTAGAGGGTGACATAGTGTCCTCACATCTACGAACAAGTTCACCTAAACAAAGACTTAATAATTGCCTTAATTCTAATATGAATTCTGATAAATTTGATACTGTTAAAGATTATTTTAAAAATTGTAATTCAATACCTAAAGAATTAATTTATATCAATAATGTTTTTACTAGAAAGATTTTAAACCCATGATTCGGCAGCCAATTTTTTAAGTTTTTATTAGATTCAGGGTCAAGAAAGATGCGGCTACTAAATATGGCATTCCTCCAAACACTTTATCTACCATTTTAAAGGATAAACAAAAGATTTTGAGCCGCTTTGGATTGGGAGCCGACTCTTCCAGTAAACGCGCAAAAACGTGTGCATTTCCTGACGTAGAAGCAGCACTTCTGAAATGGTTCGAAACTCACCGAAGCAAGAACATTCCCCTCAGCGGAGTGTTGTTAAAAGAAAAGGCAATGGACTTGGCTCGCCTGCTGAACGTCACGGGATTCAAAGCCAGTACGGGATGGCTGGAACAAGATCGTGTTCCGCACCCTACACGGACAAGCAAAGGATGTTTCAAATGAAACATGCGAGAATTGAAACATGAATCATGAAATCGAGAAATGAAACATGCGAGAGGAAGAGTTTGCCACATCTTCTGCAGTCATATGCACCGAAAGATGTGTTCAACTTGGATGAAACCGGACTCTTTTTTTTAAATGCATGCCTAACTAGACAATGATGTTTCGTAGTGAGAAGTGCTCAGGTGGCAAGCTCAGCAAAGAACGGTTGACGCGAACGCCAATGGGACTGAAAAACTTCCGTTGATGGCCATTGGAAGACAAAGAAACCTCGGTGATTAATTAAATCCCTTCCCGTGGAGTACCATGCCGTATGTTGTTCGAGACATACATCCGGAAACTAGATTCAAAGTTTTTCAACCAAAACAGACCCTATTATTCTCTCGTTGTTTCCATATGCTATTAAAAAATTAAAATGCATACTATTGTACATATTTTATAGCACAGGCCACTTGAGTGCCAGAGGAAAGGAGCGGGGGGGGGGGGTAACTCCAATAACTCGAACTTCGGATCAATCGAATATTTTTGGGGGGTCCCCTGAGACTTCAAGTTATCGAAGTTCGACTATACTGTTTTGGATTTAAAGAGTGCCTTTTTTCAATTAAAATTAAAAGGACAAGATAAATCGAAACTTGCATTTTGTTGTGATATAGGTAATTTTCAACCCACTCGTGTACTTTTTGGATCTCGTAACAGTACTTCATATTTTCATAATTTAATTTCTAAATGTTTAGATGATATTAAAGGACATAATTTGCAATATTTTTTGGATGATACATCTTTAGCTTCAGATTCCATTGAGGAAATGTTACAATTATTGGTAAAAGTTTTTGACAGGTTAAAGAGATTTAACTCTTGATCCAGCTAAAATCCAGGTATGTAAATCTGAAATTAAATACTTAGGTTTTGATATACATTCTAATGGCTTTTCAATTGCATCTGAAAATGTAAATAAAATTGTAAAATTCCCTATTCCGAAAGATGCAAAGCAAGTTCAAATTTTTTTAGGCATGGTTGTGTACTGATAAAGCTCCTTTATAGTTTTTTTTTTATTAATCTTTCTGCCAATAGGTGGCAGCATGAGTCTAAAAATTTTCTGCTAATGACAGTGAGAATAAACCTTTTTTCTAAACTTCTAATTTTTTTACATAAATGTAATAATTAATTTTATTGTTCAATATTATAATTTTAACTAAGAATAAGTTTAATGTAAGCCTTTAATTTTATATATTTCACTTTTTAGTTGTAAATTTAATTTGTACTTTTTGTAATTACTTATACTGTATGGTGGCAACCCACTGGGTGAGATGATTGAAAATGATATATGCTGATACATTCTGTTAGTGTTCATGTGATAAGTATGTAGGTTGAAATATTGTTCAGAAAAAGTTTACTTACCTAAGTGGTTGATATAGTATAATTGAAAAATGCTTGTTAGTTGATGGTGAACTTCGTTTGCCTTTTTGTAAGGCATATTTTATTCATATATGCAAGCAGATCCAGAATGTGTGCTCGCTTATTAAGCGGTTACCTGAGGAAACCACACGTGGTAGTTGCCACACGTGGGCTGGTGAATATTTTATGTATGTAACCTGTTGGCTGAATGAATATGAATCGCTTCTGCAAAGAACTATGTGTACCCGAAAGGGTTGTGCGATGGAATATGGTATGTAACATATCCTTATAAGGGGCATGATGTTAGCCCGTGGTAATCGATGATGTTCGTCTTTCCTGTTTGATGCCAGACCTTTCGGACAACTTTTTTCATTTTTACTCGTAATAAATGTGTTATTTTTCTTATTTTTAAAATGTGTTCTTAATAGGTCACATTATCATAATAAATAGGTAAGTATCCCATGCTGGAATCTGGTCAAAGTCAAAATTTAAAGGTAAAATGATAACACAACGCATATGTATTTTAGGCTAAATCAGAAGTTTCTTTTTTTTGGTTTAAGTATCATAACGGTACAGTTGGTTATTTCAAACATTCAATTCAACAAAAATTTATAACAAATAATTTAACAAAAACGAATGTTATATTTAATTGGAGTAATGAATGACAGGATGCTTTAAATAATATTTTAGAACAGTTACAACTTAAACCCACTTTAAAAAATATAAATGACGAGAA